AGGGCCGGCCCTCACCGCCGTGCCCGCTGCAGGGCGGCCGCGACCCCCCGGGAGGCGGCTGCGCGACCCCGGCCACCGGCCCGGCCCCCTGCGAGGACAACTAACGTTTTTATTGGGGAGAAAACTGCAGGAGGGTCAGGGCTTTTTTCTTCTCCAAAGTACAAAATAGCAAGTGAAGAATCTGCTCCCCCGGCACCGCAGCCTCCCCCTCTCCTCAGGACTGGGCAGCCAGCGCTCCTTCCCTCCCGCTCTTCGCGGCTGCGCTCTCTGCGATGGCGAGGCTGGCTGGGGGCTGCTACGCTTTGCCGCTTCAGCTAACCTCCATCAGCACAGCCACGCCAAAGGAAACGGCAGTCGTGATTCATTAATGAACGGTAGTATAAAAAAATGGGTAGTTTCATGGCACAAGTGCTCCCATCAGTGTAATCGAGGGGCAAGAACCTCTTCTGGGAGATTTTCTTGATTGAGAAAGCAAAGGTGAAACTAAAACGCGATGGTTCGAAGCGCGCAGAAGGCATTCCCAAGAGCACGTTATCTTGAAGCTCCCGGGGAGGAGACTGAAGGGGAGAAAGGGTTTAGAGACCAAGATCAACTTGTGGCATTTTTTTTTTCCCCATAGAATAACTCTAAAAATCGTTAGAACACCTCATTCAAGCTATTTTCCCACACAGGATTTCTGACGCCACGCTGGCTCCTGCAGCACACTTCAGCGGTATCATAACGCGGAGCACAGACGCCGTCGGGTGACCGTTCAGCAGAAGGCAAGTCGGATAAGCTTTACCTTAATAATTACAGTTGATTACACTTCAAACAGCCTTCTGATGGGAGAGTGCACCAAAGCCTGTTGGCGCGTTTTGAGAGCAGTGGTCCTCACCCTTCACTTGCTCAGTATCGTGGAGACGATACCGATATATCCCAACGAGGGGGATCATCAGGGGAGCCGCCCCCCCCCCCCCCAGCCAAGCCCTGCCAGCAGAACCAAGCCTGCAACGAGAACAAGCACCTTTCCCTTTCCTCTTAAGAATTTAATTTCGGAGGCCATGCAGCTCTCAAACTGAGGTCAGGGCAAAAAATCCTGTCTCTGGCACAAAGCTTCAGCTCTCCTGCCACAACAATTCCCACTCAAAAATAATCACTTTCCGTTTGTGGTATTAAAACTGTATTTCTTGCAGGAGAAGGTGAAATATCCCACCTTCTGCCTTTCACCTGCACCGATACACCTGTGTGCATGGCCCCTGAAATGCTCCACATTAGGAAAAAAAAAAAACCACAATGTTTTTAAATCCATTTTCAGTTCAGGCCTTCAGAATGGCACTGACACAACCGAAGGTAGAGGATATTTTATTTATTTTTGTTTGTTTGTTCTTAAATCAGCATTGCCACTGGAGAAAAATTAAGCTACCAGCCTTTTGCTAAGAGAGCTCATCGATTAGGTCTGAATACAGGAAAGGGAAGCCCCCCTCTGCCCCGAAGACATCCAGACACGCATGCGAATGCGCAAATCCATCATTTTAAAGACCGATTCGTACTGTCATAAACTGACAACCAAGAGGAACATTCTTTCTTGACACTTCACAAATACAAATTCTCATTTACTGAGCTCAGTTTACAGATATTTTTGCAAGCATAGGATGTGCTGCCAGTAACGGATGCTGTGACTGAAATCTTTAACTTGCATTTATTATCAAAGTCATACTGTTTACATCTGTAATGTCAACAAGATGCCACAACTACAAAAAAAGATTGTGCACATTGCAGTTCCAATGCAAAAAACAGTAAAATGGAAATCCATTTGTTAAAAAAGTAATTAAAATTACTCCAGAAAGCAACTGAATTGTTTTAACACCTTTACATCCAGTCAAATTAAAATGGTTAACAAGAAAAAATACAAATTCAAAAATCTGGTATCAGTGTTAAAAAGGCAACTACTTAAGCATTTCTATCAATTCGCACATCAATCTCCCTCCCACGAAGCTGTATCCCATTCATCATACGGCAGGCTCGCTCAGCTACTTCTGGGGACTCAAATCTAACCACACCACATCCTTTAGACTTCCCATTCTCCATCTTGATATCAGCATACAGCACATGACCTTAAAAAGAAAAGAAAGGCTCTTGTTTAACCCAGCAGCTCCGCGTAACTCTCCATCAAGTCACAGTTCTCTACCTTAAGCCACAAAGTACACCTTTAGAAGCTACCATTGCTTTGAAACATAAAGCTGCAGGCCAACTTTACCAAGCCGTTGTTTTAAAGAAGTGTTCTCAGTTTAAGAGACGAATTAATTCAAACTGGTTCTCCCAATTCGCACTCAAGCAGCAGCATCAGAAGTAGATGAACGGAGCGAAGCACGAGCTACCAAGCCCTGTCCAAGTTGTCAGCGCACGCTTCGCAATCGTGACTGAGGCGGCTGGGACTTGGTTTTGCCATCAGGCAAGCAGCACAAGATACTGGGGAGCAAGGTCTGGGCACAGCAGCCGCTGCCACGAAAAAACTCCCCGAAGCTGAACAGCACGCTCAGCGGTCAGGAGCTGAATTCAGACTTTTTTCAGTTATTTTTTTAAGGACAGTTTTCCCAGGCAAATTTAGATAGGAAGAATCTGTGCAGGTGCTTTTCAGCAGTTCTCAGGACTTCTGTATCTCCATTCCTATCTCTTTCTGCAACTACGAAGAGGCTATCCACATGATAAACCCAGCCCCCAAGATGGAGAAGGGAACAAACGCTGAGAAAAAGGATATGCTAACTGGGTTTATTATTTCTTTTCAACACTGCAGAACTCTTGCTGGTATAGCAACGCTGGTAAACATCCTCACTACACTTGTCAACGTTAAGATCTAGTATTTCAGTAAGTCTGAGTGACATTTTAGTTAAGATACTAGTGTCAGGGACGTACAGAGCCAGGAGTTACTGTTTAATTCATACTCAATTTTCAGAATAATTACCAGTGACAAAGTAACTTACCACATTCATTAAATTTATCTTTCAGCATTTTCCATGTAAAATCAAAAGGCAGCTGTGAAAAGAGAAGAAGAGAGCGTTACTGAGGATCTGCTGCACAACTTGCAGGCACTGCCAACTCTTCAAAACATGTTTTCTGTCCTGGGACAGCCACTGTTCAGCATCATCGTTTACAGATGCAGAGAGCTCTTCTCCTGCTAGGGAAACAGCTTCAACTCACAAAAGCTGACCTAACTCCCCCTTTGGCAGCACCCAATGTTAGATATTCTGACTGAAGTCAGCTGAGCACAGATGAGATCAACATGTCAGTACCAATTCATTTCAGGAGGAAGGAGAGGTAGGAAGGAGGCTACTCACATTTCTCACAAATATCTGACAGGCTTTTCTGGCCACCCCAGCTGCAGGTCCTCCAGTTCCTCCAAGGGAGCCTGCAAAATTGCCTGCAAAGTTTCCACGTTCCATGTCCATTGTTCTTTCAAAATTGCTTCCCATTGCAAGTCCCATTCGATCTATGCCTGCTCCCATGCCCTGTCCCATAGCAGGACCCATTCTTTCCATATTAGTGGCTCCAATGCGCTCCAAGCCCATTCTCTCCATGCTAGCAGCACCCATACGATCTATTCCTATTCTTTCCATAGGAGTGGCACCTATGCGATCCAAACCAGCTGGCATTCTCTCTATGACCTGACCCATTCCAGTTCCCATTCCAGCAGGGACCATACGCTCCATACCTATACCCATTCTATCCATGCCAGAACCCATACGTTCCACGCCTGATCCCATTCTGTCCATAGTGGTGCCAACACGGTCAATGGCAGCGCCCATTCTCTCGATACCAAAGCCTATGCCAGAACCCATTCTTTCTATGCCAGAACCCATTCTCTCAATAGCTGGGCCCATCCTCTCGATGTTAGGAGCGATGTGATCTATGCCCAGAGGAGCCATTCGGTCAATGCCTGAACCCATTCGCTCCACGTTGGAGCTCATGCGATCCAAAACGAGACCCATCCTGTCTATTTCTGACCCTACTCTCTCCATCCCATGCCCCATCCCAGAAGGTATTCTTTCTATTCCCGAGCCCATACGATCAATGCCAGGTGCCATCCTCTCAATCCCAGGAATGCTGGCATTTCCGCCACCTGGAACACAACACAACAGTTTATCAGTAACCATACAGGGACAAAAAAAAAAAAAAAAAAATCTAACGCATGCTTACAGTACTGAAATGCTTTAAGCTTTATCATCATTCAGAAAAGTGACCGCACGCTGTGTGCTCTGTTGCTGCAGAATACGAAGCAAAGTTTTATTTCAGATGGTAAGAAGAGTACCGTCGTTAATTACGCAGACCATCATGACTACAACACATGATTTAGGGGAGCAGTCATCTCATCACACATACTAGAGTTGGGATTATCCCTTCGCTAAGGAGCTTAACTTCTGCAAGCACAAAGAAAGCCTTCCAAAAAAAAAAAAAAACCAAAGGAGAAAATTTGGAAGGCATATGCAAACCTAGGAGAAGATCAGGTGGCAAAAGCAGTATTTTACACATAATCTCAGCTGCTAGCTGTCCTGTGCAGTACACTGGGGATTATACAGCAAGAGCAGTAATTTAGTAACTGATACTCCAGTTCAGATACAGATTGCTTGGAAGAGGAATGAAATCACATCGTCCTTGCCAGGCAACTCAGACTGCTTCTGCCAAGCCAGGGAGAGACTTTTACAGGAAAAGCTTGCCCAAACTTAAGAGCCCTCTTATTGCCAGAACTCCAAGATAAAAAAGCAAATTCCACACAAGAACCACAGCAGAGTGACCATTATAAAGTCACAAAGCGTGCTTGGCCTTTTAATGTGGAAAGAAATACAAAAAGGTTGCCTGTGCCATAAAACACAGGTGAGAAAAGGGTTCCTATAGCTGCTACATCAAATCCCTTGACTGAGTTGTCCTGACTCTGCTACAGAGTCTTCAACTTCCTGCAGAAGGATCACTCTCCTATAGTTTAGGCCATTTTGCTGTTGTATGAAGGATCTTAGCTTATCTATCAAGTTTAGCACTGCTGCACTGTAAAAAAACAAGAATCCTGTTGAGTTTGCTTCCTGTTTGAGGTGAAAAAGCCTTGAAGAAAGTGCATACTTAAGTTATCCACATATATTTAATGAAGAGAAACAAGTTACGTAACCCTAAGATAAGCCTATGCTCAAGAAAACTGAAGCAGCCACGTTTCCGAACAGCATTCATCCTGCTTCGCTATTTCAAGCTTCAGTAGTACCTTAAATAACACAGAATGGTTTTGGGTGACGTGACATTTGTACTTGTGCAACCAAGTTGGCTTTTTTTTTTTTTTTTTAAATGAAGAAACAACAGCGACAAACATTTAGTATTTCTTCAGCTGAAAGCCAAGAGCTGTGTGCATTTGTTTTTAGAGTCTCCCAGAAAAGGGCTAATCCTGTGCAGGCAGGCAGGCAGGGCCAACTCTTGGTTGTTAAATGTTGTGATTCAGTCATTAAGCAAATAAAATTAATTCTGCAAATTGGGAAGGGGGGGGGAGGTCTGCCTACTTCAAGATATTTGGGTTCAGCTTAGTTTCAGAGATTCTGCAGTTTTGAGTACTTCATTACTGAAACAGTCCAGTATTTCCAGGGTCACTGGGCAACCTGCTAGGAAGCTAACGGTTATACAGGCAGCGAGAAGGAGCAGGACTTTGTTTTCACTGAAAAAAAATTTAGTATCTTACCAGTAGCATTTCAAAAATGCACAACTGCCAGCAAAGCTGACAGTCTAAATTTTTTTTCCCCCTAGTCTTCCAGTAATCTTTTTTTCAGAAGTGTTTTAATGCATAATATTGCTTATCTATTTAAAGATTATCTCCCTCAAAACTATTTTTTATTGCATTATGATAGATATATAAGAAAAAAAAAAAGCAGTGAGTTACCGTAACTGAATTGCTGCTTTAAGTGCTTTGAGTTTTTTGAAGGCTATATTTGCTTTGCAATCTGAATTTTAAGGGAAGACCATTTTTGTCAGGTTTTTTAATGACTTATAAAAAAGATCACCTTCCCTTGCATACAAGATCCAACTTTATGAAGTCATCCGAGTTGTATCAGCAACAGTGTACTGCATTTCACTTTCTTTAAAAATGAATTTCAGCGATATCAAATTAACAGAGCACAGCAATAACAGAGCAATCTCAGGAACGGGCTGAATCAAGCTGTACGCAGATGGAACAGATGCTCACTGAAGACATTAAAAATGTTGAAGTTCTGAATCTTTCCCCAAAGCATGATTTTGCCATCTCAAAGCTGCTACAGACAGAACAGCACCGCACTGTCCTTGCTCAGTTCAAGTAGTATTTTACACCAAGTTATTTGCTATACTGATAGTCTTCCTTTTCCCGCTGGGGTTCAAAAGGAAAGACCAACAGAAGAACACTGATTTTAGTGCTGCGTGAGTTGCACAGTAAGGCGTTCTCTTCAGTCACCTGATGTGTGAGTCTGTGCCAGATTCCTGAAACATCTGGGAGCAAGGGAAGGAAATTAAGGTTTCGTCACATTTTTCCTCCCTACTGTCTAGGCCACAGATGACATTTTAGTGACAGGATTGGGTCACACATCATTCAGAACCTTCCTCTTTGGAAGTTTAGCATGAAGTTGCAAGACACAAGGCAGTGTAATAAGCGTGTCAGAAGGTTTCCTGTTGCATCTGAAGTTCCATTACACAGCCCCACAGATCACTACCAGTGTATCCCTCTGCCTTCTGTACAGCTCTTAGGAGTCTGATCCAAGCCAAACTATTACAGCAAATATATATAAAACACAGTCTATTTTATGTACAGTTCAGGTATGAAAGGCAAGTAGTAAAAGTACTTAGCTTAGTGTACGTACCTATTCCTCTCTCCAAGGTCTCTCCAAAACTACGAGACATTCCCATTTCATTTCTTCCAAATTCTCTTTCAAATCCTCCACCCATGGCACGATCCATCTCTGAAAAGATTAAGTTGGATATGTTCTTCAGGGTGTCCAAATGACTCCTGAGAGAATGTTTTAATACAGGCCTCATTTTTAAAGATTAAAAGCAAGGCAAGTTTTTTTTAGTACGTTCTCCTGATCATATTATCATGTCTTCTTGAGACCCAAAAACCAACAAAAAGCAGGACTCATCTCACTATGGACAAACACATTCAACGCAGCCACTCTGCTCTGGAGAAGTCTTTCTGGTGACTAGATAAGAGCTTCTCTCTTGCTAAACTAGTCCTTCAAGACAACCTCAATGAATCACTTGTTTTCTGCAGCTCAGAGGCCATGAGCAACTTGTGGACACCACATCAGCTGTAAGCTTTTAAGTTTTTCCAATAAAAGGAAAATGACCAGTCTAGAGAGTCTCTCCAGTGTTACACTTTCAGACAACACAAGTCAGGAGTTGGATATACAAAAAACCAATACCTACCACTCATTCTGCCCATGTTCATTCCAGCTGGGAAGCGACCAATGTTTTCCATGCCAAAAGGACCTTCCATTCCTAAAAGAAAATATTTTTCAGGGATTCTTTAGCAATGCATTTCCACTTAACACCACACTTCACCCACATAAGCTGCTTTCACAGAACATTTCCACAGGCACCAAGACAACTCTGTATCACAGATTCACGAAAACAAAATTTGGTCGGAATTTGGTCACACCGTATCTCCTAAGCCAAGGGCAGTTTTAACAAGTCACACGACAAAAACACCTCCAGCAGTTTTATTAATACTCAAAAAGGAACAAGTTATTACTAAATTGGTGACAATTTCAAAGAACACAAATGCCTGCTAGACATATATGGCTAAGTTTACATGACTTTCAGAAAGCCCAAGCTATATACATGTCAAAAAACACAGCTTACCTCCCATTTTATTCATTCCAAAGCCCATGCCTTCCATTCCCATTCCTCAAAATAAAAGAGAAAGCTTTATATAGCAGACGTAATTCTACAAAAGTTCAGCCATTAGGCTGGCTGTAGAAATAGAGACCATACAACATGTCCACTGTTTGGACTGAAGAGCTTACATGTGATAACTGAGTAGATTGCAACATTCCTTCTCAGAAATTAAAGCAGCAAAGGGGAAAAACCCATAGGCATTTATAAATTGAAAGCTGAATGTGTGCTACTTTTTAGGTGGCTCTTTAAAACTTGTGCTATTTAAACATATCCTAAACAAAGATTTGCAAGCCCACTAGTAAGTGTTAAAAGTGACAGATGGTTTTAAAAGTTTAATGTATATTTGCAGTGTCTGCTGCTCATGCTCAAGAGTCAGAAAATGAGAGCTGTGCCTTGACCACAGTGAAAAAAAATGGAGCAGTTGGTTAAATTCAAGTTTCCATTATCAAGCTCATTACTTAGCTCAACAAAAACTCATTTGGCTTTAACACTCCTTTAACTCCTTTAACACTTCAACTTTTTGTGTAGGCAAAACAAAGCTATCTACCTTCTACATAGCTTAAAGCTCTCATGAAACAAAAGCATAGGAGTAATCTTCTTACCTCCAGGTCCCATGTTGCCCATTCCCATGCCTTTGTTTAAATGATTTGCATCAATAGGTTGACCTCCAGGTCCTAATCCCATGCCAATACCACCAAGACCATCTGAAGAAAATATTCAGATATCAAAAAAGCCTTCTTTCCATAGTTTGACAAAACAGCAAGTTTTATTCTTAAGTAATTGACTTTCATTCTCCAAAAAGCTTGCTGTGTTCCCACTTTGGGGTGTGTACTTAAAGCATGAAAGTGTATAGTAAATCCAGAATAGATGTGTCTTGAAATATACTAAAAACTGTCTCAAATATTTTTTTCTCATAATCCATTTTCCATCTTACTACTGAGAAAACTTGCTTGTTTGGTTGGTTTTAAGCTGACTCCTGAAAAATAACTGGCTAGAACACTGCTTATTTTGTGCAACTCCTCAATCTAAGGAGAAGAGAGTGGGCAATTTAGTATAAAGATCTCCTAACCTTTGCACAGTATTACCCTTGATTGACAAATGGCTTATTTCCACCTTTGCCAAGGTTCTTCCCTTGTAGGTAAGAATTTAACCACAAAGTTCAACCTATCATTATGATAGCCACCTATAGAATTCAGAGCACACAGCCAGCCTCTTCTCTGAGCAAACAAAGTGTATCATTCCCAGGCATAATTTTGAATCTTCCTGTACCCAAATGAATTAAGAATTCCCCAGTCCAAAGAAAGAAGAAAGAGCCCTCATATTTTCCTTATAGTTAATCAGGAAGAAAGAGTTCTCTGCTTGCACTTGCATCAAACAACAGCTTAATGGCATTCTTTGCCTATGAGAAGAGGACTCCCTCATTTACAGCTCAGCATAATAAACACAGGAAGCGTTGAATCTTGTTTTAAAACAACACAAGATACCCCATCCCCGCCCCAATAAAGGCCAAGAAACAGGCTTCCATTGGTATTTGTTGAGTTTTATACAAAGACAATTAAACTGAAACCCAATGACTTTCACTTGAAAAAGAGGTACACCATTACAGAAAGTCAAGGCAGCAATAAAAACCACGAGTGATACTGCTGCTGAATAAGGCTTTGACAGATACACAGAAAACTGAGCTAATTAAGGGATGGATTGGTTGATGATCACCAAAATTGTGCAGGTTAGCAGCACACAACAGGTTTGGTTCCCATGCCCAAGAAAACAGCAACTGGCTGAATTAACAGAATTACGTTAACAGCCACACTTTATATTTTTGCGGTATTTCAACAAATTAAGCCTGTGTTCCCCCGCCTCTAGCTCTTCCCTTCCAACTCAGACTCTTCTTGCTCCATACTTTCAGTATCAGTATCTTATCACAGCACAACTGAGGTTGGAAGGGACCTCTGGAGGTCATCTGCTCCAACCCTGCTGGCTCAAGCAGGGCCACCCAGAGCTGGTTACCCAGGACCATATCCACACAGCTTTTGACTATCTCCAAGGACGGAGACTCCACAGGCTCTCCGGGCAACCTGTTGTTTCAGTACTCAGTCACCCTCACAGTAACGTTTCCTTATATTCAGACGGAGTCTCCTGTGTTTCAGTTTATGCTTACTGCCTCTTGCCCTGCCACTGGGCACCACTGAAAGAGCCTGGCTCCTTCTTCTTTATACCCTCCCCTCGGATATTTATATCCATTGGTAAGATCCCCTTTAGAAACCTGAAGACCTGGAAGATTCTCAGGCCCTCAATTCAGCCCTTTCAATTGAAGGAAAAACATTAGATACCCAGAACACCATACTGACTGATTAATTATGTTTCCATTAAATCCCACTACTAACAGTAGTTTTACAAGGCATTGGGGTCTTTGAATTGCAATTGAGAGATTTGGAAGCCTTGAGAACGTGAATGGGATACTGTTTTAAGACAAGCTTCTAGCTATGAGCTGAAAGAAGTATCCAGAAAAAAAAAAGATAAGACTGAGCAGCTCTTCTTTACTATTTCCCCCTTTGACATTATTCAGACCATTTGGATCCCAGCTTTCCAAAGTCTGAACCAGAGACTTACTGGGGCTGGGATCAGGCCCCAGGCACTGAACAGCAAAATAAAAAAAACATAACATGTTCAGTCATGGAGGAAAGACTTACGAGGAAGTTGTTGGGGTCGCTCTGGAGGAAAGAAGTCTCCTTTGGGAAAGGCTCGCTCGTCCTAAACACAATTCAATATATTAATGTTTGCGAGAAAAGTAAGAAATGATTTCTTGCCTTTTTTTTTTTTATTAAAACACAGAAACTTAAAGCTAAAGCAATCTTCACTGTATTTATGACTGTCTTTTAGTAAAATAATCAGAATTAACCTTCCCTGATGGCGTGAGCTGACATCACTAGGAATTAGGCAAGTCACACATTTCCCCCCTGCTGTATTTCAACCCAGCCTTGAAACCACACATCACCCAAAATCAGGAGCACAATTACGCGTTCGAAAAGCAGTAAGAATTTGAACGTACTTACCATTTTTACATGCATCGGTCTGTCAAAGAGCAGCTGCCCATTAAACATCGCTATTGTTTCACTAAGGATCATTGTTCAAGCGCTAGAACCACACAAAGTCTTAAAGCTCTAAGTGCTATCTGGTGCAGAGTACAAAAACCCAGTCAGAAAACCACGCCTCTCCAGGTCACTTCTTGAGCTATCATTCAGATTATCAAAAATCCTTCTGCCTTCTTCAAAACTAAAAAGCTTTGAAATCCAAGTAACTGAATATTCAAAGAGTGGTTTTTTAAAATTAAAACATGAGTTAAAAATACTCTTCTGGTTAAGATTAAGGTCATTAAGAGATCACTCAAAACGTGACTCCAAACCAGCCTAGATGTTTAAATGTTTCATCAGTAACTTTAGCCATTTAAAACAGGAGAAAACAGGCAAAAGTTCCCAGCATTTCCAAATCAACAAATAGCCAGATTTTTGAAGTATTCCACACTAGTGAATCATGTGAAATTTGTATAAGTCTTGCTCACACAAGGCTTAACATTAGGTGCACGTGCAGAACAGAATTAACATTCAAATAGAAAGAGAAGCTTTGGGAGAGGAAAGAGGGACATATTTTCCTCCTTTCCATACCACAGCCACAAGCTGAGAGATCACGCACACAGCAGCATCTGTACTTTGTTGTTGTTTGGTTTGTTTCTTGTAGATTGCCATGTAGCAAACCATGGTATGCATAGTGTAAGGATACAGGGGACAGAGGAACGCAGCAGGTCAAGCCATCTTACATTGCAAATGGATTTGTTGCATTCCTCCTTTATCTCCATCACAGGAATTTAAGACACATCTTTTCTCAGAAATTGCATTTTAATACTAGCTACAACCTAGAGACAGAAATTTACTGTTTGGGCTAGAAACACACATACCCATGTGGGAAAGAGAAGCCACTTTGTTAATGACTGAGCAAACAGCAACAATTCTTTCAAGATGGACTTTTTTCTCTTTTTCAGTTTTCCTTACGTTTTCCATCCACTGCAATGGCCTGACTTTCTGTGACATGGCAACATCCTCATTCGTAACACTACAATTTACATGTTCATCCTGCTTTGTTTACGAAGTTATTGGCCTACGATTTACCATCATTACTCTACAAGGATACATATAGCCTGAACAGCCTCTATAGCTTGCTCAAAAGTGACAGTGCCGATCCCACGACTTTTGCCATCTTTATCTTCTAGTATGTCTGCCCGAACCACAACACCGGCCATGCTGAATACTTCTTTCAGTTTCTTCCAACCAACCTTGTAATCCAACTGGAAGACAAGTGATATTGGAAGTATGAGAAAGACTTCCATCAAAAAACAGCTTTAGTGTTCTTACATTTCCTTTCCCGATATCAGCAATCTTAAGAAACAAAAGTCTTCACAGAGATAGGATAAAATTTAAATAGCATAAAGAACGCTACAGGGCTTAATGCAACGTTCCTGGCTTTCTTCAAAAATACAAATTAACAGACACCGTAACATATAGGATACATCTTAATTTACAACTCCACCAGCACAGAGAATCAACAAGACTAGCCACAAAATAAGTTACTACTCAGTTACACTGGAACAGAGCTGAAAGTCTACGGTTTTTCTCCTAATTTATTAGATTTAATTCAGTTAAGACCCAGATACTCTGTTCACAGATTACACGGGACTTACATTTGCAACAAAGACAGTGCTTCCAAGTCTCCCTGCCTGTAAGGCATGAATGATCTCGTTGGGTATGTTGGGATTGTTGAGGATACTAGGTGGGATATTGATCATGCCGGGGCCGCCCGGGCCGGGACCAATACCCATTCCACCAGCTGCTGCCATGACCTTCTGCATTGCTCTCCTGGCATGCTCACCGTCAGGATCCTGCAAAAACAGAAACAACATACTCTGTTCCCTCTGGACTCCACTAGACACGTGAAGATTTAGCGGCATGACTAAACAGTCAAAAGAAGAAGGGGTTTCCCTTTACACAGGGCTGTCTGCTCCCTATAGATCTCCAGCCAACTACTGCACATATCATTGCCATCCGCTAATTTATTTTCTTTTAACCAATATGCCAGCACCCTTCAAGTTATCAAGTTATTCCTACTCATGCATTTCCCCTGATTCTGCAAGTGTTTATCTATTATTCAATACCAGCAATAAACCTCACCGTTATGTGTGTTCCAAAGACTGGTAAACCCAGAATGGCACTGGGAAGGTTTTGGAAAACAAATGCCAGCTAACTCTTGGCATCTTCAAAACAATTTGTTTACCTTGCGCTTGGACTTCTTTACAAGACAAGATACAGTGTGTAAAATTTCAAGAAGATTGGTTTGGGCAACGCTTTTTTCCCCCCACACACACACTGGCTTTGTAACCCAAAAAAAAACCTTTTAATGTATCCCCCTATTACTATATAATCTCACAATTTTAGGACATGCTAGAGAACATGAAGCATAGGATGAAGAATTCAAGGAAGGAAATAAGATTAATTATTGTCACTTCACTTTATACTGAAAGTGAACGTAAGCACCTTCACAATACAAGGTGAACTTATGTTACTTCGGTTGGAAATGTCACACTGTATTCAGTGAGCAAAATGCGCCAGCACTGCAAGACTGCTGAAGAAAGTGAAACGTCAAATGGAATTAATTAGTCAGAAATACAGATGCTTTAAAAATAAAAGCTATTTGAGTTAATTTGAGTCTTGATCTGAAATTTAAGACTAAACAATAGCACTTTTTGGAAACAGGAGAAAGGATAGCTTTCACATTTCAGCTACAGAAAATCATAGTAGTCTGAGGTGGAGAACACATTAAAGTGAATACAAGTCACTTCTCAATTTAAATTTCCTAATTCACTGTCAAAATAAGGTATTGCTTAAAACCAGATTAGCTCCAACAGAAAGCCAAGAGTGGTTGTCAGACAAACTAAAGTCTTCTGATCAGGGAAAGAACTTTATTCTGCCATCAATTTTTATTATGTCACTTGAAGGCCTTCATGCTCCTCAGCAGTGAGACAGCCAACAAGGAGAGGTACGTACCAGACAGTTGGCAAAACTGATGCTCATGGTCACCCACAAGAATTTAATTCATTCCACACAGTCAGACTGGGGCACTTGGCTGGGGTGTAAGCGTTGCTTAAGTCCCTAATACTGGTAAAATGCTTCTTCACCATTTCAAGTATCATTTCTGTTCTGTGTCATACAGACAGAAATATTCAAGTATGACAACAGTTTCACGAAGAGTTGGGCAAATGACAACCACCTCTTCTCAAGGACTGATACCAAAGGGCAACCTGACTTCCAGTACTAATGGTGTATCATTAACAGGAAACCTGACCCAAAGGTGGCCCACTCTCCATAGCTTTTTCTTCCACGGTGCCCTTAGAGAAGCCAGTGCCTGACGACTTCCAGGTGCAGCTATATTTTTCTAACCTTCCATTTCACCTCTTCATTCCTTTAAAGGGTAGCAAGAGGTCAATAGTGCCAGAAGATGGCTTGCGCCCAGAAGCAGGCTGCTGCCCCCAGAGTTCATTACGCTACTTATAAAATCTGCCAGATCTGAGAAGTGCTGCCACTTGCTGTCCCCATCCTTCTTCCCAAGCACTCCTCAGACTACAGCACGGAGCGGGTTGCTCAGGGCAGACCTTCTGCACACATTCTCTGCCTCATACTCGTGCAGATGTCTTTCACCCCCCACCATTAAGTGGGCAGGGCACGACAGAACATTAAGACTGCTTAGCTAAGAACATAGCTCACATACCCTAAGGCCAAGAGTCAATGCTAACACTGAAATAAGTTCCTTTTTATTTTTAATTGAACCTTCAATGTAGCTACAGGTTCCAAACTGCTGGAAGAAAACTTTAAACTTGGCAATGGTTAAGAATTAACTCATGGTACGGTTGAGCACGTCATACTGGTTGACAATAGCAAAGCCATTAAAATGGAAATAAATCTTTGATGTATTTCAGAAACCAGCTTATTCTACAGGACTGTTTGTGGAGTACATTCATTATGATGCAGAATTAAAAGGGAAGGCAGGAAGGAACAAACAATACTTAAGCAGGTTTCTTCTTTAAACCACTAAACAAGAAAGTATACCTGCAGTTAAAGCAGTTGTCCGAGTTCTGCATTGCTACCATCAGCACCTATTCTTTAAATCAAGTTTAGTCTTGACAATCACGTTCAAACTCAAGGTCAGCAGTACATGCTGATGGCAAAAAAAAGGTTGACGGTCTTTTTTTTTTTTAATCCTATTTGATGAGTCCTGCCTTTTGTCAATTATTCTTATCTACAAATGAGTCAGCCATAAACCTTGACTAAGAACTACCCCTTCACCTTCAGATTCAACATACTGAAAGAACAGATGCACGTCTTACTTCTTTCACTTTCAATGGTCTTCCACCAAGACTATGCTTGTTCAAAACCTCTGCAGCCTTTTTCATGCTTTCTTCCATCTTGAATTCAACAACACTGTGGGGATACAAGACATCTAAGAACATTGCTTATTTTTTAAGAGTCTCCTCATTTCTTACTATAAATTCATAAGTGAACTTACGCGCATCCCTGATGAGATGATTTCACAGGCGAATAACAGGGAGGAGAGGAGGGAAGAAAGAAGAAATAAAGTAAGTAAAAGCATAAAACACACAAAAAACTTTTTTTTAAAAAAGTCAAATCACATTAGTTAGCCCTAATAGCGAAAATAAATGTAATCTTACCCAATAAAGCCTTCAATACTTGAATTCCATAAGATAAAATTTCTTATGCGTTAACAGGATTAAACTGTAGTTTCTGAAGTTGTAACAAACAGAACTAAGTCCGATTCTCCAAGAAAAATACCACACGCTTCATGTGACCTGCTCTTCTCTGTCGTACAGCAAAACCCTTGCCATATTCTCTCACCCTAAATCCATATCCTTCGGTACAGTTAAGTGTGCTCCTACTATTTTTTTCCTTGTAAGATACTGTCGCTGGACTAAAGGACTTAAGTACCTATGAAGGCAATATGCATTTACGTTTAGGAATTGAATTCAGTTTACTGGCACAGGAAGTGTAGTTTACAGAACCTGCTTTTGCACACTGGCCTTACAAATTCAGCAAACCACTACAGTGACGTTTTCCAAAAACACAAGTATTACTTTAATATTCCGTACCACTATACATACTGCTAGGGTCCATGGGTCATTCAAACAGCCAACGCCAACTGAACACAGTGGAAGACCACCCTAACGCTGTTTACAAGGCCCCATCCCACCTCCTCCCCACCCCAAAAGAAGCTTAAAGCAATCCTATGTTATAGCCACTAAGCATACACACTCTCTACCTTCCTGACTTCGTTTCGTTCCACGCCACCATACAGTTACATTTGTCATGTAGAAAATCCACAGAAGAAATCTCTCAAACACTTACCCTTGACTTTCCTTCAGCGTCCATTAAGAGCTCCACGTATGTTACCTCACCAACTACAAATCAGATTCCAGACGACACATATACCAAGGGAGAAAAGCCAAGAAAACAATGGGAATTTAGAACAATCAACAACCGTGTATGGAGCCTCTGCCTTATAAGAAAGCCCAGAAACACTCCATGTTCTCTAGACCACAAAACTGGACAATTACAGGTATGCAGTAAAGTCTTAAAACAGTTAAACATGTTCTTGATTTTCCTCCACTTCAAAAGCCAGCTATTTCCACAATATCAGTTTCCTTGATCTTTAGTACCCACTCATTACTTGAGGCAATCCAAATCCATGGGAAAGTCTGCAAGAACAAGTTTCCTTCACTTTACATAGTACGCAATCTTGTCTCCGTAGTCCAGAACTTAAACAGTTATTTGCTTTTCTCTGGATTTAAAGACAAACTTCCAAAACGGGAGTCAGACTGAACCAACAGACCAAGAGATCACTGACTGCCTACTATTTATTTCAGCAGTTTTTAGCCTTTTGGTAAGCCATAACAAAATAAAGTCAATTTTTTACCTTCAATAAGTGGTATTAAACAGTCTGACATATTTGCTCCCAAGACAAAACCATCTCCAGCGATAGGCAAAACGCACTGGAAAACTCCATCCGCACCTTTCCTCACAAGATTAGGATTGCCTTGTTATGACCACATAACCATATCATGTACCTCCAGAATACAACTACCGAAATGGCTGCTGCCTTTGAAGTGACTGGCATACAGAAGAATCAGTGAAGAAAACTTTTTTTTTTTTTTTACTTTTTCTTTCTGGTTTTAGAAGTCCTAGTTTTTAAGTTTAAGACAGGAGGACTCCAAGTTGCATTATCTGAAAGGTGGAAAGCTGTTTTTGTGGGAAATCATGACCCAGTCTGAATATTGCTAGCATACTTTGAGCAAGGAACTGGAGTCTCACATTCAAGAGTCTCTTAGCAAGGGGCAGAGAGGCAGGAGTGTTCAGCCTGACCTCCCCCAGGACCAGTCAGTTACAGGACACCTAGTGTCATTAGGCAAAACGAGACAAAAGGTCTCTCGAAGCTGGAAGAAAAGGAATGCTTAATGAAATCACTGCTTTTTTTTTTTTTAATCTCCATTTCTTATTTAAAAAAATAATTTAGCAATATCAGCATTCCACCCAAAGAACAGTTAGCTAGACAGAATAAAACCCTGATCCATTCCTCTTTTTATGAGGATAGTGTTTGGGACTGGAAAAGGCTAGCAAGCAAGTCCCTTTGAAAGGGACAGGGCAGATCGGAGTGTCCAATTGCTATCCACAGCTTCACTATCTAAACAATACTTCTTAAAATAAAGCATAACAAAATTAATACTATCCCATACTCTGACCAGTATGAGATCACGTAGTATACATGGAATTGTTTCCACAGTCTGTGTAGTGAAAGGGACTGCGCTGTAAAGAGCCCTCCTGGACTAGTCCGTGGTGGTACATGGCGGCTGTGCACCGAGTCCAAATATTCAGTGTTACCAAGACATTCTGAAGCCATCCATCTCAACAGCAGCAGCCAGCGTCCAACCAAACTTTGATCAAGAATGCAAATGTGATTCAACAATTTATGTAGTAAGACGACAAATTCCCAGATTACCTACAATACAAAACCACTCCATTTCACAGAGGCCAGAAGTCACAGGTTAGAAGTCCTTGCTCCTAATAACACTACTGAGCCCCTGGATCGAGGGCTCTCCTCTCCCAACCGCTAAGCGAATTCAACTACAATTCTTACTTCAGATCCACACAAACACTTCCAAAGAAGTTTGCCGAGCTTGAACATATTAAATACGATTTAACATTTACTCTTTTAACGAATCTCTGACCTCTGAACCACAAGATTTCCAGGAGTCTATCACAGCAGCAATTGTTTGTCACTTGGAAAATCTATTATGTGCCAATTTTGCTCAGTGCTCCACATTCAAGCCTTATCGACACCTATATTAAAAACTAAATATACATCTTGAAGTAGCTGTTTTCCTTCGGAGGACATCTGAACTTCCTGAATAGCCAAATCAAAAAAAAAGCAGGGGGGAGGGGAATGACACAAGTAGTGTAACAGCTCAGTATCCAAGACACCAAGTCCAGAGTACAGAACAACTGCAATAAAAATGCTTTTTTTCACTTGAAAAACATGTAAAACGATTCAACATGACACTTCTTCCAGGACACTACTGTTTGAGGCTGGCAAAGGAAACTTTTTTTAACAACCTATGCTGGGTCACATTTTATTTGGGTTTTTTCTGGATCCCAAACCACAGTGTATCAGAACGTCAGGCATCGGGGATAAGCAGAATAGCAGACAAGGGTAGCCTACGACAGTGCACAGGCAATTAAGCCATGGAAAAGTACCAACAGCAGATATCCATGTACTAAACCTGCTTCAGAGGGCAAAAGAAACGCATGGTGATCCAGGCGGATTTTCTTTCTGCTAGAGAACAGTTGGCTTGTAGCAGGAAACGGATCCTATATCCACAAGCGAAGAAATTTCATTCAAGCCCAAGAGACTGTTACTTAAGGAACTCAAGTTTATTACCAGAGCAGCCTTCAAATGGAGATAAAACTTGCAGAAAATACTAGCTCTAAGTCAACGCAAGTATAATTAAGGAACATGTTCCTCATGGTGTCTTTAAGACTTAGAGCAGACTGACTTATTTTTTCAAACCTCACACTTGAGAAAGTTCAGAAATTTGGTGTTTCCTAAAACAAGAGATTGAAGCAGAAATCATTGCAATAACTAGAAATACAAACCAAGGGAATCTCCAGTGTTACTTATCATTACAGCCGTCGGGGTGTTTACCCTCAAACTCTATATCCACTTTCCAAATAAGTTCATCTGCATGGAAAATTAAGATGTTCAAGCCAGGTTGGTCTGTCAGCATTCAGATATTCTCCAATGACTGTTCAGAAAGCTCAGATAAGTATGTCCATATGGTGATTTGAAGCACGGCTCAGAGGGATTCACCTAGCCCTAAAGACATATCTGGGAAGTAACCAGGATAACAAGCTCAGATGTAGATGTCAACTTGGAAAATTCTAAAGTTGGGCAATATGATTTTAACAGTTAGCGAAAAGCCAAGAAGTTCTGAAAGGCGTGAAAGGGACAGAAAGGCAAGTCTCAGCAAGAGCAGAGGCACAGAAACTGAAAAAGGGGTAAATGCTTTATATCACAGTAATTTCTTTAGCCTACACGTCAAAAGTAAATACTAAATAGAGAAGGAAGCCTCTCAAGACATTACCAAAACTATATGGATGTCCCATCATCTTCTGAAGCAAAGAACTACAAGCAATGTGACGGATTCAAGAGGACCCTGCCATCAAAAGCCTAACGCTTCCAACGTGAGGCAATTCAGAATTGGCCACAGCTCCTCCTTCATTTACAGCGTTTTAAAGCTCATGACAGGCAACCCCTAAAAAGTTACATGGGGAGCTTGGGCTGGGGAGAGAGAAAAGAAACATGCTTTATACATGTACGAAGCTTTAGTTAAAAGCGGAGAAGAAAAACATTCTTCCCAAAGCAGAGACAGAGATGAGTTTGCAAGCTATTCTTTTACAGTAGGGGAAGGAAAATCTCGCCTTTGCGTGAGAGAACTCAGAAAAAAATATGGGTAATCTTGGCTCTTTAAGAGCCCAGGCAGGAAAGAGGGAGCGAGAAAGCTCATTGCAGCCACTGACAAAGGACAGTGCCTCCTTGAAAGGATGGTTAAGGCCAACGCAAATAGAGCAACTCATTAGCACATCTACTGAAAGCAAGGGGGAACAAGTCGGATGTGGAACACCACTTCCACACGGCTTATTCATCCTTTTTTCTTTGCCCACCTAAAACTTCAGTCTGCAAGCACGCTGCGACAGCATCTTGGGCACGGAAATGCAGGGGACTCTCCAGTAACAGCTGTCTTCAGGTACTGGAGTAACAGCTGTTAGTACCGAAGTAACAAAAGTGCTCAACTAACATCTGGGATCGAGTACAATAGCAAGAAGGCATGAGTTACATCTTCAGGAGGCCACAAAGGTTCCAAAAATTTCTGGAGATGGAGCAAGAAAGAAGGCAGCACGTGAAGTTTAGCAGCTGCTCTTCTTCACAGAAAGTTCAAGCTGGGAAAGCTTTGTTGCTTCTTTTCCTCACATCTGTTCACACATCCAGGTTTTGCTAGGAAGAGGGAAGCGTGCCTGCTCCATGGTACAGCTCTGCCTCACGTAAACATGGGTGCAGCCATGCTAATACCAACAGTCTCTGGGGTGTCCTGGAATCTTTGAATGTGACACAAGCGTGGCCTTGACTGCAACCGCTCCTGGCTTTGCAACAGAGCAGACCATCATTATTGTCTCATTTTACAGCTAATCTTTCTCCTTTTATTGCACAGCATCTTGCTGCTCTGGTCAGGAAAAGGGTTTAAAATACAAAATTCTGTATTTCCCAAAGGAACCAATAAATGTCTCAAATTCAAATACAAGCTCTTTTTTATCATATGGTATCACCTCACTTACGCCAGCTGCCATGAAGCATTACCATTTTTCTCCCTAAGACAGAGCCATTTGTTGGGGGACAGATTAAGACAGCTATTTAGCATTCAATCATATTTACGTTTAGACTCCACTTACATGCTGAAGAACTGCTGCCTCATTCTTCTCCTGATGCCATTCACCAATTGCCAGTTATCAATGCTGATTACGTCAGTTTAATAGAACCTTGTGTTTGTCAGCCAATACAAGGGAGTTTCAAACAAGAACATTTTTTAATTTCATTAATAAGTATGTCATACTGCATACCTGTAATTGAGTTTCACCAACAAATACACTGAAATGACTGAACCAAGGCATTACTCTTGAGAGAGATGTCACCTTTAGAAGACCTCAGATGTACGCATCTGAAAAATCCAGGTTGCAGAAATATGAGCAGACCTCAAAGCTCATGTCTCCTAAACCATACTTACTGACGCAAAACAGCCGATTGAGGTGAACTCCTCCTACGTTCAGCAACCTGCTATGCCATTGCTGCTAACAGCTTACGTCTTCACGACTGCCAAGCGATGGAGCAGTCATGAAACGCCTATGTTTACCCTTTGTGTACAGATCTGTTTCACGTGCTCCCAAAACCTTGAGCGTTTGGCCTGTAATTCTTACACTTACAAACCAAGAATTCTAACGTTTAGATTTTTCCACGGTCACATTCCTGGTTCTTGGAACTACTATGCCTTGTATCAAGAAGTACCGATTGAGCAAGTTCAAGCACAGCACAAGAGCACCAATTTGGTAGAAGTCAGCGACTAATTGGAATGAATCGCAACTACACAGCAAATCTAAACTGTTGTATTTTAACAAGCAGTCCCAAAAACCAAGAACAATGCTTCTCAATGTTTAGCATCACAAGCCCTGCAGACAGAATGAAGAGGTTTCAATGTTCCCCTAGGAGTATCTGCTGGAATGAGTAGCTGAACAGCAAGGCAGGAAACAATCTCACACCGGACTTTTCCATCCACGTGAACTGGAGAGAAACCACAAGACACTTGGAACGGAATTCAACATAGTACTTAAAATTAGACATCTACACATACAGATACGCCTATTAACCAATGTATCTTGTGTAGCAAAGTGAAAGCGTAGTTAAGGGAAGGGACCATTCATAATTAGGGCCTGTCAAAGCAGTCTCTAAGATTGTAATTCCTCATATTACTGAAAACCATTGCTGAATCTCAAGCATCAACGTTTCACAGCCTCTAATTATGGAAGTTTCCCAGGGCTTATAGTCCTGAAGTTCGTTACGCAGACTCGGTTCCATTTTGCCTCCAAAGACAAACATTTTAAAACCCTTTGGAAATTTGTTTTCCCATTCATTAGGCCACACCTTGTGAACACATTAACTATCCTGCCTTACCTAGTTCAAACACAAGTGAACACTGATCACTATTTTGCGAGACATTTATGACTGATGCTATGTATTTTAGAAGTGACCCACAAGAGGAATGATTGCATTAGCTACTCTTAACTTGTTTTGAGACATTTTGATGACGGAGAAGCCAAGTATTTTCTTGCCACTCCGCTGTATTTCCAAGGTGACTTGAAAACTAGTAAGTTGGGCATCAGCTTAAAGAAATAACACTACATTTAGACTTGTCACCACCTGAGAGTAGTCAGCTCAATTTCTTCATCTTCTTCAAGAGATGAAGATGCCAAGGTCAACAAACTAAGGCAGCTCCCATTCACGTGGGACGGTTAAATAGAAGTGGGGAAGGGGGAAACACCATGAACATGATTTCCAAAGCCCTAACTGTGTTGCAGCACATGCCAAAGCACAAACCTGATTTTTCTTTTTTGCAGGTCACCCTTAAATACATTTTACTGCTATCAAACGGCAGTATGGATCTTTATCTAAGCACAAATCACTACCAAGTTGGGGGACACGGCTATATATACACACGCCAGATCAGCAGTAAATAACTACCTTTATTACCCAAAAGACATTAAAATGCTTCAGAAAGTTTTGTTGCATGTCAAGGCTAAAATCTGACAAAAGCCTCATTTTTCCCCCCTAAGAAAAATATTCTTTTAAATCTCCGATGAAGCACTATTAGCTATATGCCAACATGCCTATAAAGGAACTATCCATCTGGAAGGCTGCCAGGGAGCAGATGTTGTGCAACACCCAAAAAGGCCTCGAGAAGACCTTTTACAGAACTCGTGTCACTAAGTCCACCCAGAACTTCAACTCTTAAGTTTACAAACAAAGTCAGCCACAAGTAAGATGACAGACATCACTTGGCCACCTGAGTTGTACATTACCTTTCTCTTTGACCAGGTCTTTCAGAGACTGCCACTTCACATCAAACGGAATATTTGTAATAAAAGCTCGGTATCTCTTAGCAGGATTAGCATATGGCTCAAAGCGATTTCCTCCTCTTTTGACACTTTTCTCTTTTCTTTTTTCATTTTGGCTTGGTCGTTCACCTTCACTGCAAGCAAAGAAAGATAATCACACACATTAACTACTCTGGAATTTGATCAATGTCATACCACCTCTCGGAACATAACTTGTTACATTCTTAAAACTAAATCAAAACTTGCAAAGTTTCATCCATTCACGTTATTTACAAAACTGTACACCTTTCAACCAAAGCTGGTACGCACAATACCAGATCTACACAGTGTACCGTAACAAAGATTTCCTAACAGCAGACAACTTATGTCATGAAGACCCACTATTTTCTCCCATATTTATCCAACGTAACCCAAGGTTTCAATTTCATAAGCTGAATCCCTTTAAAGCCGACCAAGCCTCACTCCGTCTCCTCACGATGCTCCAGACCAGATGTCCACCCTATTTATTTTCTCCTTAGCACACTATACTACTTAAACACCTTTAAGTCAAATAATACATTAACCCACTATATTTGTAGTCTCACACTACCAGAATTTTAACAAAGTAATCCTCTATCTAACTAAACACTCAGGTCAATGACTCTTACCTAACAATACTTTTTTCCTTCTCCAATTATTACAGTTTTTGGACAACACAAATACAAAGCCTCTGTGCATTCCAACAAACGTACTGAATACCAGCTCTAACAGGTCAAAAATTAAAAAACTAGAAATGAAGACTATTTCTCAATCAACCTAGATGAACCATCAGGGCTTAACAGGACACAAATGCTGCTGAATAACAGTATTTTAAAAAAACAAGAGAATTAAATACTTCAGCCTCAGCCTGACAAGATTTCCTTAACTAATCCAATTAATCTCCTTGTCCACTGGTTGAGAAGATGCAGAAATACATCTTTAGAAAGAAGTCACGAGAACACATTAGTCAAAAAAGCTGGTAAAGTTTCTAAAACTTATCTGTACATACACTGAGCTTTTGCTCAACTTAAGACCTACGTAGCCCTGCAAAGTCCAAGCCACGTCAGAAATGCTGGCTCTGACGTGAACACACTTTTGCATCAACACTGTCCGTTCCTTTAGCACCATTTCAATCACTGAACAGATACAACAGCCTGCAGGGGGAAAAAAAAAAAAGCAACGAGTATGCAGATGTCTGCAAAGTTGTATATTGGAGTGAGTTCCCCATTTTTATTACATGGCAGCCTACACTTTTTCAGCCACAAGGATATGTTACAAGCAAACACACAAAAATATTGTATTTTACGGATACAGCTATAACTGCAAACAGAATTTGGCTCTAAGTATGGCCATCATGTATCACTTCATGTCAAAAAAGACATAGGTTCTGCATGTAAGTAATATGCTGGAAAAGAGGTCTATATAAAAAAAGCGTTCTTTAGTTATGCACAATATTTATTTCACCAAAAAGTGAAATTTTTTAGACTTTCCCTCATTGAACTTTTTTAAAGCTTCTTGAGTAATGAAGTAATTAAAAACGCAAAACTAGATTCAAAATAGGACAATCCTTCTGACACCTTAACTTCTGTTTGGCTGAAGAAATAACACAAAATGTAGTGCTTGTGTTAAAAGCTACACCCAGTTTTTTATGGTTTTCCTCAAACTGGAACTATTTACATTCCCCCAGGGTTGAACTGCTGTATAACACGCTTCGAAGTAATGCGGTATGATGCAGACATTCTTTGCAATCCTGCATTTAAGGCTCCCAAGTCAGCTTAAAAACACCTCAAGCTTTGATATACCTGGAAAGAATTCAGACAAGCCACAGTACCTGCCATTAAAGTCAAGCATTAGCCTAGAACATATTCCTTATCGTATTCAGCATAACAAAATCCAGCCAGGTCAAAAGAAATGTCAAGGAAACTACTTCAACTGCAAAGTTGTTTTTTTCTCTTTTGCAGGATTTCAGACACCACCTCCGTGGGTTTCACACACCAAAAGGACAAGAACAGGCAGGCACAGGTCGATAGCTTAAAAGATGTGGTCACCAAGTACGAAAACAACTGAGTGCTTAGGGCTTCTTTTAAGGGAGTTCTAGACAGCAGGAAGGACTGAGCCCCGCATCACCTCCAAAAGACATCATGCCTGCCTGTGAGTATCCCTAAGTGGAACGGCAGGAGAGACAAAATTCCCACAGCAGCTTTGCCCATCCCAATAAGGAAGCACTCTGAGTAACTGTGATCCATTTACACCAAGGCTAATGCAAGAGCTACAGAAAATAAAGCACTTGGGTAGTTACTTTCAGAAGATATTTCACCTACTCTGATTTTTTTCCTTGGGTTACAGAACTGAAATGCTTCATCAAAACTAAAGAAAAAATTTCCTGTTTGTGGTGCGGGTAGAAGGAGGAACTGAAAGGGAAGCTCTTATTTCTTCCAAAGAAATGAACTACTACGCACATTCCTCTGCAAGATTTCTTAAACATGTCACCTAGACCCAACAAGTGTACCAGAAATCACTAAGAATCAAAATCCAGTATAGGCAGATCCCCCTTTCCCCCTCACCAAGGACACTGAAAATACGTTCACATGAACATTGGCATTATCACTGTAGGCGTGTTAGCTTTGCCACATGGAGCTTGGTATTACAAACAGACTTGCACCTAAATAAAAAGACAAGCTCTCTGGAGAGACTCCAAATATAATGGGGGCCAGGAAAAAAAAAAATCAGAACAAAGTAGACATCTTTACTTATCCTTCCAGGAATAAATCATCTCCTCATATACGACAAATTACTGATTACATATTACCTAGAGCTGCAGGCTCTGCTACAGTCACCAAGAGCGAGCTTTGAGGTGTAAACAGAATCTAAGAGACGAACATCCTCCACATACCAACTACCCAACGTGAGGGGGAGAGAAGATGATGGGAAGATTCTTCCCTAGCCCTGGCTAACATATTACATGTCACTGTATCGTGTGCCATGGTGGCACTGGGATCCCCACCCTCCGGGATCAGAACTGCCTCCACTCCGGAACAGGCACGCCTGTTTCTACCCGGCAGGAAGAAGACAGAAAGAGCTGCGTATGTCAGTATTTTCTTCAGTTGCCATAAGCACAGTTTAACTACTTTGTGTTGGAAAAAAAACAGATACGGGCATTTTTCCCAAAAGGTGACACTTGGGAAGCCGACTACCTTCCTGGTCATGTGAAACACAATCCACAAACTCAGGCAGCAGAGGCAGATGAGTGCGGTTTTTCAAATTGAGACACACCGCCATCTCCTCACCATACCCGTATTATCTCCGAATAACTACGGACCATCAAACCGGCCTCTGTTATTCAGATCTGTCAGCTCTGGGTCAGACTACAGATACGCAACACACCTGGGCGTAACAACCTGCAGCAACCAGCAGCCTGACTGACACACAACTGTGTAACGCACCTGAGAAGAGCGGATAAACAAATCTCACCTCAAGTCTGAGAGATTACTCACAGAACATCAGGTTCAAAATGCCGATTCTTATCTCTGCGGCATTTAAGGCCTGGGGCCAAAAATTAACCGAAGAAAATGTGTTCTTTATTCCACAGATTTGGTATTAAGAAAAGCTTTGCTAACTATGAATTTTTCCAAAATTAGGTTAGCATTAATATAGAAAAGTGACAAGCAGTTCAAGCTTTTTCTGCTTACAATTCCCACATTTACAGACTTAGACTTGTAACCCCTGCAGATTTTTTTTTTAATTTCTGTAACATCCCGTTGACATCAGATACACAACCCTTACTTAGTGCCTGCCATCACCTTCCAGCTCTCACCCTCCAGGCACTTGTCTCTCGTGTTCCTAACCCACTCCACAGCTAAATCATCAACCACGAAACAGAGCACGCTTTGCTCCAACAGTATGAGAGATAACTGCCTAAAAAGAGCCTAACTCTTACAACCTACCATTGATAGGACAAAAAGTAATTAACTTGGAACATCAAAACCCATCCCGCTGGCACAGCCCATACCTCTAGGGGAGGCTTTAAGTCGTCCATTAAGGCCCAGCAGAAATATTTTCTAAGTGGGATAGGCAAAGTTCCCCCTGGCCGCCGCACCCCGGGGCCTGCGCGGTGCACAAAGCTCCAGGACGAGGGGCCGGCTCCTTCCCCGCCCCGGCCTCGGACCGCGGGAGCCCCCGGGCGCGCCTTCCC